TAGAGGTTGATAAAATAATAACAAAATTCATTTGGAAAAAGAAAAGATCTATAAAATGAAGGAAATAATCAAAAGAAGTAGGGAAAAAGGAGAATATAATTTTCATATCTCAAACTGTATTATAAAGAGCAGTAATCAAAATCATGTTATTTGTTTAAAAATAGAGAGATAGATAATGGAACAGATTAGACAAGAGAGAATCAGAAGAGATGGAATTCAATAATCTGGAATTTGATTAGGTGGAAAACACAAGTTGCCTAGGAAAAAATTACTTATTTGGTAAAAAATTATTTGGAAACTTGAAAGCAGTCTGGAATATACAGCTGGCTTAGACAAGCACAGTATTCCATATTCTAAAACATTCCAAAGTCCGTATTCTAGATACATTCTAAATGAATACAAGATTTTAATATTAAAGATCACACTACTAAAAATTAGAAGAAAATATTCTAATAGTCTCACACTCATGAATAGGAAATGTATGCTTAACCAGAGAAGAAACTACAAAAGATAAAATAGATAACTGCAGTTATATGAAATTGAAAAGCTTCTGCACATAAAAATCAACACACCTAAGATTAAGATGGCCAGGTAGGAAAAAAATCTTAGAAAAAAAATATCTGACAAGCATTTGGTATCTAAGATACATAAATAATATGTGTGCATACATAATCAAATAATATAGTATACAGACATATAAATAAAATGTATCTATGTGGATGTGATACATACTTATATAAATATATTATACATATTTGTATATAATATATTATATATAATAGCCATTTCCTAATAGATAAATAGTCAAAGATATGAAGAAACAAAAGAATAAAAAAAATTGGGTTTTTTAAGAAAAACAAAATATTCACAACCGCATGAAAGAATGCTCCAAATCACTAAGAATACGGTAAATGTTTATTAAAAAAAACTCTAAGGTTTTTTTTTCACACTTCGAAAATTGTAAAAGATGAAAAAAATGGTAATAGTCAATGTTGGACCTTAGGTACCAACCTCCCACCTATCAGATTGGCTAATATGACAAAAAAGAAAAATGTTAATTGTTGAAAGAATGTAGGAAAACTGGGACTCCAATGCACCATTAGAGGAGTTGTGAACTGATCCAACCATTCTGGAGAGTAGTTTGGAATTTATGTGCAAATTCTAGGTGTAAAACTGTACATACCTTTTCATCCAGCAATACCACTGCTAGGTCTGTATCCCCAAGAGAATTTTTACAAAAAGGAAAAAGAACCTATTTCTCCAAAAATATTTATAGCAGTTCTTTTTGTGGTGGCTTGGAATTGGAAATCAATGGGTTATCCATCCATTGGGGAATGGCTAAACAAGTTGTAGTATGTGATTGCAATGGAATATTATTGTGCTACAAGAAATAAGCAGTATGATTTCAGAAAAAAGAAAACACAGAAAGACTTACGTGAACTCATGCAAAGTGAAGTGAACAGAACCAGGAAAACATTGTACACAATAACAGCAATATTGTGAGATGAAAAACTGTGAGTGACTTAGCTATTCTCATCAGTACAAAGATCCAAGACAATCCCAAAGAATGTTGAAAAATGCTATCTACCTCCAGAGAAAAAAATGATGTTGTCTGAATATAGACTGAAGAATATTTTCCATTCTCTCTCTCTGTTTCTCTTTTTCTCTCTCTGTCTCTGTCTCTGTCTCTCTGTCTCTCATCAAGTCTTATACAAAATTAGTAACATGGAAATGTTTTACATGATAGTATATGGATAACCTATATCAGATTACTTGCTATCTCAAGGAGGGGACAGGAGAGGGAAGGAGGTATAGAATTTCACATTACAACTTTTAAAAAGTAAATGTTAAAATGTTTTCTGTGAATTTGGGGGAAACAATTTTTTAAAAAAATAATCAATATGGGAGAGGTTGTGGGAAGATGAGCACACTAATACATTGTTGGTGAAACTGTGAAATGGTACAACCATTCTGGAAAGCAATTTGAAATTATGAAAGTTAAGTGATTAAAATTCCCATACCCTTTGAACCAGAGACTCCATTCCTGGGCTTATATATAACCCCAGGAAGCCATCAATAAAAAGAAAGTCCTCATATACACCAAAATGTTTGTAGCAGTATCTTTTGGGTTAGTAAAGAATTAAACACAAAATAGATGCCCATCAATTGAGGCACAGCTAAACAAATTTAATTACATGAATGTAACTGAATATTACTATTCTATAAGAAATGTGTGTGATGAATACAAGAAAGCATGGAAAGATTTATGAGATAAGGAAGCAGAGACAAGAAAATAATATGCACAGCCACTACAATGATGGAAATGGAAAGAGCTACATGTGGAAAAAAATAAAAGTGAATATAACAAAATTATGAAGCTCAATAAGGACTCAAAGGATGAGATATGAGAAGACATCCCAAACCCACACCTTTGTGCAGGTAGAAGATCCACAGGTATTATATATTGAACTCATTTTCAGATTTCTTCATTGTATTGATCAGTTTTGCTGACTTTTTTTCTCACAAAAATATTTTTTGTGTAGGATAGCTCTCTGGGAATGTGAAAGGGAGAGATACTTGGGATACTCATGATGATATAAGATAAAGGAGATATCAACAAAAACTTTTTAAAAGAGACTTTCATACAGGAATATAAAGGATGGTAAGAATATTTTCCCTAATTAAAAATTAAGTGTTGGCTAACAGGATTGGGACATGGCTGTTTATGGAAACGTCACATTATCATTCCTTTGGAAGTCCACAGTATTTTCTACCTTCTAGTCTCTATTTTTTTTAACTGAAATGAACCATAGTCCTTCCAAATAATTTTGCTTTTGAGGAACCCGAGACCAAGCGTGGTTAAGTTCATCCTCTAATGCCATATAGATAAGCAGGGATTTCTAGAGCAATTCCATAGAAACAAAATTAACACCTATACAACTCTTCCCCATTTATTAGCCCTAAAGAATAAAACTGTAGCACTTTAGCTTTTCTTATGCTAATTTCAACCTCCACATGTTATGTCTAATCAGTATCTCATCCAATTCAGTTTTCATTTGATCCTAACCATTTTCTTTAAAATATAATCAGATTTGACATATAGCTGAAGAACTCTACAGACAAGAAATGTAGAAAATTCTTTGGGCAAAATAAGATGCTATTCTCTAATCACATGTTAATCATTTGTGTAACATCCTATGGAGAACTCTGAAGCAACAGCTTTCTTTCAGATCTCTAAAATGACCAATCCTGGGAATCATGCATTCCTGCCATTAACTTGGCAAAAATTGACTCCAATACTTGAAAACAATTTCAATAGAAAAAAGCTATTTTTATTTTTAAAAGAAATATGTACGCAGCACATACATATATGTCTATATACACTCTAGATCTTCATTTTTATTTTTTTCACTGCTTAAAAAGTGTAACTTTTACATAATCTACATATTAACATTATATTAACATAACATTAACATATTAACATATGTTTGATTAGCTTAAAGAGGGAACTAAAAATCCCTAGAGAGGAAAGTAGCTTAGTGTGCATTGTAAATAGGAATGACAAGAAGGAGGAAGTGTAGTACAATGGAAAAATCACTAGCTCTGGAGTTGGAAGATCTGGATTCAAATTCTACCTCTGGTAAATACTACTTCTGAGGATTTGGGCAAAGCCCTTAAACTCTTCTGTCCTCTGTTTCTTCAACTGTAGAATGAGGATGATGGACTAGGTGTTCTTAGGTTCAATGGAACTTTAGATCTATGAACCTAAGGCACAAAATCTTGGGTTCAATGTCAATGTCAATATATACAAGATAATATACATTCAAGCTATTTTGTCTTCAGGGTGAAAAATCAGCTGTAACCACAAAGAATATGCTTCTTGAAGTATCTTAGTGAATTCTTCTCCTAATATTCAAAAAAAAATCTTGCTATTCAAATATGACTAGGAATAAATGGAAATTAAAAATATGTCCTCAAGGGTATAACTGACCTTGAAAGGTCATATTGTTCATCCTTCCATCATGGTACTCCTCACTTTTATGATCACATTTAAGCTAGCAGAAATAGATGACAATGTGTTTATAAAAATAAATATTCAGCAGATTGGAACATATTACATGCTCTTTTCTTTTCTTCTGTTTTGTTTTGTTTCTTCTTTCTTGTGGTTCCTCCTATTGGTTCTAATCCTTCTTTACAACACGACTAATGTGAAAATCTGTTTAATAGGAATGTATATGTAGAGCCTATATCAGATTGCATGCAATCTTGGGAAGGTAGGCAGAGAGGGAGGGGGAGAAAATTAAAAACTCAAGAGTTTATGTAAGTGAATGTTGGAAACTAAAAATAAAGTAATAAAAATAAATATTCAAAATAGATCTGCCTTAACCCCAATTCAAAATTTAATAATTCCAACCCTCTTTTTTTAAAAAAAATCATTAATATGTATTGCTTTTAAATATTCCCAATTGTTTTGTAATTAGTGAAGACAAATTGTAGTTATTTTATATAGGCATAGAACCTCAGGATAGAATATTTCAGTTCTTCCTAACTTTATTTACTGTATTTGAACATTTAAAACAATTTTACTATAGTCTATTTTAAATAAAAAATTTCAAGTATTGAATCAAAAAAACTAAAAGCTAATATGACACATTTTATTTGAAGTTTTTTTTCTACTGTAGTATGCATTACTCAGACATAAAAATCTTATTTTTAAAAAACCTTCCCTAAAATTAAACAGTTTTCTGAGGAAGAATAAAGATCAAAAAGTTACATCTATTTGCACACATATAATCTATATCATATTGCTTACCATCTCAAGGAGGAGCTGGGGTGGGAGGGAGGGAAAGAATTTAGAACTCAAGAATTTTTTAAATGTTAAAAATAATTTTACATGTAATTAAGGGAATTTTTTTTAGAAAGTTACGTCTACTACACAAAGAAGAACTGGTCTCATAATTCTAAAACATATGGACATTCTTTGTCACATAGTATCTTACCTGTGCTGCTGGATATGTTAACATCAATACTTATATCAGATATGCCTCCTCCTTTTAGGGATGCTACACATGTGTATGTTCCAAAGTCAGTGAATTTCAAATCAATGATGTCCAAGTTTGTTGTTCCAGGGGAAACATCAAGATCAGTCTGTGTTATAACCATCCGCTCAGAACTTCTTAAGGGGCGTCCATTTTTAAACCAACTAAATGTTAACTCCTCTGAAGGAATAGCTTCTACTTGGCAAGATATTTTCACCTCACGTCCAATCTGGATGGTGTCATCTTTGTGATAAGGATCCGGCGTAATCCAAAAGCGTCCTTTTTTTAGTGCTAAAACATAAAAATTTTCAAAAACAATCTTAACTTAGTTATTCAGCTATTTACTTTTTAGTTCATAAAATGAAGATCATCAAAATTTATCTACATTCTTTGTAAATTCCATATTTTATATTAAATGGTTTTGTTATGAAAATATTTATTAAATTGGCTAAACAATTAAAATGCAATTTAAAGACTTTATTTCCAAACATTGTTCACTTATGTTTTGAGGTCGGACAACTATTTAAAGTCAATGACAGCACCAAAAAACCTTTTACTTGTTTATTTGGGAAAAGTATTAGGGAATTTGCTTATCATCTTTTAATCTTTATTTTAATCTAATAATTTTTTTAACTGCAATGTTTCCTAAGTCTACATCTTCAGGATGGCTAATAAGTAACTGGGCAAAAATTAAACAAACCTAAACAGAGATAACTGAGATAGCAGTGCCTTAGAGTAGAATTGGATTAGACAGAAGAAACATTTGATTAAAATTTATCTTGTTGGCCACTGAAAATGAGATTTACAGCCAAAATAACTGCCAACTACTTTGTAGATGTTCAAAACTTTTACCTGTCAGAAGCACATATGTCTTAAATTTTTTTAAAAAATTCTTCTGGGGCTAGCTGTTAAAATACTTTTGTCAGTGTCATTTCCATTCCCAGAACCAGCAAAGCAAAACATCAGAAGCATAGAGGGAGGGGCTATATACTATCAGTTTATTAAATATAAATATCCTTTGCAGCTTCATAGCAACTGAGGATATCCTGACTGAATCAGAGTAGCAGATGATATAGGAATCTGTACTCTGTTACAAAGATAATTCTTTTAAATGTTTCTTGACAAGTATAAAAATAACTTGTGTAATGCTGGACACCTGTGTCTCTTCAATTTTTTAGACCATTTAACAATGAGTTTCTAAGGACATTTCATAATATTATTTATTGTATATTTTATCTATTTTTTCTTGCTTGCTATTTAAAAAGGGAAAGATAGAAAGAACATGGTTGAAAATATTGTAGTCAAATATCAGCACACCAGACTCTGATAACTACAGTAAGCTTGCTAATTATTGATGAATCTGAAATATGTTATCTTTATCTTTATATTTGTCTTTTCTCTATGGTTAGATATCATTTGTATTACAATAAACATTTTTACTGTGAAAGGAGATATATCCACAGCACAAGTATTTTCACCTCAATTTTTCACTTTGGCTTTCTTTCACGTTAATCTTAGATAATAAAAACTGGAATAGCTATTTGAAATAATTACTTCATAAGCATTATAGGTATGATAGGAGTAATATAATTTAAATATGGTGGTAGACATATCCAAAAAAGAAAACGTATTTTATTTAGAAGCTTCATAAAAAAGATGCAAATTTAAATAGAAGCACTGAAAGGCAAAAAATTTAAGTCTACTATTTTTATTTCACTGTTATCCTTTAGCATAATCAATAGCCAGCTACATTAATATTTAATCATATGTGTATGTGTGTGTGTGTGTGTACATATGTATGTATTAGGACTTAATAAAAAGGTATTTGCAGGATAAGACAGGACACATAACATAATTCTCCAAGTTCATGTATTTGTATTTAATTGGTAAAGTATAGCATTCCATCACATACAGGAAAATTCCTTTTACTAGAAATGTCACTGATAGGATACTGCATATACATTATATACTGTATAGCCCTTTGCACATATAAAGTTTCATAATTTTAAATGGAAATGAATGTTTACAACACAAATCAAACCATGAGAGTATAAGATAATATTTAAGTGCAGATCAGCAAGACATCTTCATGAGTTCAATCTGGCCTCAGATGCTTACTAGCTGTGTGACCTTGGGCAAGTCATTTAACCCTGTTTGCCTCAGCTCCTTATCTGTAAAATGAGCTACAGAAGGAAATGCCAAAGCACTACAGTATCTTTGCCAAGAAAACTCCAAATGGGGTCATGAAAAGTTGGATACAACTGAAATGACTGAACAACAACAACATAATTTGCAAAATGCTTTGAAAGACAATTTTAGTTTCCTCTTATTAGCTCAATGGCACTCTAAATGAAACACTCCTTTTTCATTTGCTTAGTTAATTTTTCCTTTTTTCTACATTTTAAGATTATACAAATCCCTTAAGAACTTTAAAAAATCAGTTTCATATGAGCACTTAATATTATATAGTTCTATAATCAAGCACTTTTCTAAGCATAGTGTTTTTTTTAATTTTCTTTTTATATTAATTCAAAAAGCCAAATGATGATTATCATATAGTATTCAAAGATAGTATAAAAATCTAAAAAGTATAATACCAGAGACAGTGTAGGCAGTGTGGTATCCTGGTTAAAATAATAACAACAACAACTAGATATAGAATCAAAATCACTAAGTTCAAATCCTAGCTTAATACCTTTGTTAACTTGGGCATGCCACTTAATTTCTCTAGGCCCAAGTTTCCTAAACAATAAAATGAGAGAAGAGGTCTCTTTTAATTGTATATCTGTGACCCTTATATTTAAATGCAGAAAATCAACACACAGTTAAAGTCAATCGGTAGCCATTATTTTTCTACTTTGTTCTCACTATGCTATGCATTATTGGGTATACAAATAGGATAGAAGACATTGTAATTTAATTGGGAAGACAGTAGCTACACTCATGAAAAAAAAATTAGAGAACCATGCAAAACAGTACATAATAAAATGATATAGTTGTTATCATATACCCCATATGTTATATAAGCAAAATTTTAAAATATAGGACTTTAAATCTATAATAGTAAACAAGGAAAATTTTTACCATTTATCATTTAATTACTTTGTATAAGGCATTCCAATATAATTTTTATCAAAAATTATAGCTTTAACTTATAGATGAGGCAGTAAATAGTGTAACACCTTTTCCAGAGATTGGCAAGAGCTAAGAGTCAGAGTAGACAAAGCACAGGTGCTTTGGTCCCCAGCTGCTTCCAGCTCATGGTGGTTTTTGAGATGGTGACATAACTCCTCCCCAACCCCACTATCCTAGGTGGGGAGGAGCATCCTCACTTCAGTGGGAGCAAGAAACTGAAGGAGGGGCAGAAGCTGGAGAGATGAAATCAGAGGACCTGCAGTGAAGAATAGACAGGACGGTACCAATGGTTAAAGTATTTAAAGATATAAAAGACGCCTTTGACTGCATCAAAAAAATTTGTAATTTTCTCTCATTGTTGTCATTTTGTTTAATGAAATTATCTACTGTTTTATCAATACATTTTGACCTATTTATTCTTTAGGATTAAGTTATACAATCTCCAACTTTCTTTTAGTCCTTTCTTAACTGTTGAATATATATTTTTATTAAATTAAGGTAAATGAAACATACATCTATATTTATGCTTTTCGACATTTATTTGTGAAGATCTTATGCTTGTAGATGCCAGAACAGCTGAGAATATGCAAACTCCTTTCTATTCCCATTCAATAACTAACATAGGACTATAATAGCTAACTTTTCCTTAATTCTCGCTTTTAGTAATTTCCTGCTTATTTTGGTTAGACTAATCTTTGTCTGAATGGGAAAAATCAACTTTTATAGTTTTACTGTGGGTTTTTCCATCTAAACTCATTTAACTTTTCAGTTAAGTATTTAGATGTTATGCCATTCAGGGCATACATATGTAGTATTCATTTTTTGTAATACCTTTTAGCAAAACATAGTTTCTCTGATTGCATCTTTTAAATCTATTTTTGTTATTCTTGTTCCCTTGTCTGAGATCAAGCCTTTTTCTCTTCAGCTGAAGCATAAAAAACATGTGCTCTGACCTTTTATTCAGCTGTGTGACTCTTTATGGGTTATATATTTCTTACAAACAACATACTACTAAATTATGCTTTCTAATCCAATCTGCTATCCCTTTCTGTTTAATGGCTAAATTCATGCCATTCCCATTCTAAGTTAAGATCACTAATTGTGTATTTTTTTTACCTATTCTTATTTTATAAAGAAGAAAAGAGTGGTGAGAGAAGAGTGTGTTCAGCTCCAATGCTCTTGGTTTAATGAAATCTGCCTTTGTTCTTTTATCCCCCTACTCTTTCCCTACTTGGAGTCTAATCATAAGTTCTTATGCATTAAACCTTCCTTTTAAAATCTTCTTCCCAACACATTGTCTGTGGTTAGAGTTTGTTTAGTCAACTAATGTATCCTTTAATCTACCCTCTCTCTTGTTCCCCACTCTCATGTTTCCCTCCTATTTTCTTCTTGAATGTACTATATTTCTCAACCCAAGCACCTGCATTTGTATTCTTCTTCCTTTGACCAGTTTAAATGAAGGTGAGGTTCAAGTGTCATTCATTCACCACATGCCTTTCTTATAGCTTGTATAGTTTTCTACTTGCTCATTTCAATTATGAGATAACTTTTTCACCCTTCATCTCTCTTTCCTACCTCTAGGAGGCTCTTTCATCTTTTAAAAGCATTAAAATATAACAGAATATCTTCCAGAACCTCAGCCTTATTAGATTCCCTCTATGACTACTGATGATGATAGGATTCTGATAGGAAATGTGTTATCTCCCAAAATTAGGGTGTAAACAGTTAATCACTACATATTTATTTTTAGAGGCAATTGGGATTAAGTGACTTGCCCAGAGTAACACAGCTAGTAAGTGTTATGTGTCTGAGGCCAGATTTGAACTCAGGTCCTCCTGACTCCAGGTCCACTTCACCACCTAGCTGCCCCTGCTTGATCATTATTTATTGACTTATGATTGATCACTGATATTCACCTTTTTAATGTTTCTCTTATATCTGTGTTTGTATTATCAAGTTTTTATTCAGTTTGGGTCTTTTCATCAGAGGTCACATCATAAATAAAAAGGGAAACATGAAAAAAACTATCAGATCTTTGAAAAAGCTCATGATGAGATAAGAAATTAAGAGAATTGTAGAAGACAAAATAAACAATCATATAACATAAAATTAATTTTTTTTGCATGCACACACAAATCCAATAAAGTTAAGATTAA